GGGGGGGGGCACAGAGACCTTGGAGTCCCCCAGGAGCTGGGGGGCACAGTGACCTTAGGGTTCCCCAGCAGCTGAGGGGGTCACAGTAACACTGGGGTCTCCCCATCCCCGCAGGAGCTGGGGGGCACTGCGACCCTGGGGTCCCCCGGCAGCCGGGGAGGGGGGGGAGCAGGGCGACCCTGGCAGGTTGCTGCATGGCTGCGTCCGGCCGCACAGGAGCTCAGGCTCCGGGAGCGCGAGGTCCCTGCAGGAACCTGGTTTGACAGCGTTAAATAAAAGCATTTTTGTCCTTTTTCAGGTGTACTGACAGACCAGCGTCAGGGCGGCAGAGTCACGGCGCGGGAAAGCACAGCTCTTTTCGTGCGTTTGCATCCCGACGAACTCTGGGGCCAGCCACGCTCCCGCGTTCCTGCCGGTACTGAATTCACCGAGGATTATTTAGCACCTCCCAGGCCTGGGCCTGGACGATTTAACTGACGCTTTGGGCCTCGACGACAGAGCAGGGCGGCCAGCGCTCTTGCACGAGCCAGTACATCTCCCCGCAGCATCAAAGAGAGGGGTTGCAAGCGGCTGCCGGCTCCGGCGGATTAAGCAACGACAGAAATCCTGGTTTGCCGCGAGAGCAGGCGAAGCGCAAGGAAACTCCGCGACAGACCGGCTCGTCATGAGACAGCGAAGGAGGGACGAGCTCCTGCCTGGCGGCGGTCAGAGCCCGCCGGTTTGGGCTTTCTGTCGAGACACGAAGTCGTGTCTCTGCGCGGCTGCTCCTTCCCTCGCTCTACCATAAATCAGCCGGAGATAATTGCCGCCACCGTTCTCCTCGCTGCGGTCTCCGATTTTTAGGTGGGCTGGAGCTTACGGACGTGTTCCATATGGCGCTGTGCGCGAGCCGCGCGTTGAGGAGCCGTCATCGCCCAAGGTGTTTTGATGCATCTCTGAGCGGCTGGAGGAAGGCTCTATGTTCCTTTTAAAGGAATACCACTCCGGTAGCAGATTTGTAAATGCTGCGACCTCACCAGACACAACCATTAACCCCTTCCAGAGATGCAGAAGCTGAGGCACAGCTTTAGCCATTTGCAGTCGGGGGAGAGAGCACAGACGCTCAGCCACCCGGGGGGCCCTGCCCCATGGTGCGCCCTCTGGGCCACTGCCAACTCCTTTAAAGAGACATTTAAGCAAAATCCCATGTTCTCTATTAATTAGCTAGGACCAAGCTTTGATTTTACAGACTCACAGATTTTAAGACTGAAAGGGACTCTCAGCTCATCCAGTCTGACTCACCCAGGACACAAAATGTTATCTTCCTTTAGTGAGCGCAATAACGTACGTTCTTCTCCCTCAGGGCCAAATAAATCTTTCATACAGCTTTGGTAGGCCACACGTTTAATGTGTATCTTAGTGCTATCTAACCATAGCGGACACAAAACCATACGGCTGCGAGACATACGGAGCGAAGCTGTGGGCTGCGTCTTGCCCCTAGGATGCAGGTTCTGGGCTGCCTTTCCAGAAAGACTTCTACTCGTGACACAAAATATGCCGCTTCTCCGGAAACTTGTTCTCGTGGCTAAGCACCCACACAGTTAAAACCGCGTACCTCGTTAGCAGGGTATCCAGCAACACAACGGGTTCTTAATTTTGCAACAGATCACGATTAATCGGGTTTTTTTTTTTTTTTAAACTGGCCGCCCTAAGCGGGTAAAGGACCTCTTCTGAAGGCAAACCGAGACGCCCTCGCTGCGCGCAAGCAAGCCCGAGCTCCCGGGCTGCCGCGTGTGCCGGCACGCTCGCCGCCGCGCTGCCAGCGGCGCATCCATCTCGGTTCCCGGCACTTCTCCTCCCAGCACGAACTTTTGAGAGGAGCCCTAAATGAATTACTTCCAGGTGAAAGGGTAGCACTCCCCTTCTCCCGCACAGCTCCGCACTGCCAACAGCCCTCCAGCCCCTGTTGCGCCCATGCTAACAAAGGCGTGAGTATAAAACGACCTCTGTCTGCTTGTTTCTCCATCTGTCTAAGCTTTCTTTCGATCCGTGCACCTCAATATGCTTTTTTTTTTTTTTTTTTTTTTGCCATGTACTGAACAGAATGCCTATAGCTGACAGCTTTTCAGTGCAGGGGAGGTGAAACACTAATTGGCAGAACAAATGAGCCTGCAGAATAATTTTCAGGCAGGAATTCCCCTGAATACAGCAGCTACCTACGGCCGGCTGGAGGTTTTAAATGTGACGTCACCAGCTGGGTTATTTCCACCATCATCCGGCACTGCCTTCAGCCACGCGATGTGACTCTCCATGGCGTTGCAGCAGCTTTTCCACATGCGACGCGTCCTCCCCTCCTCCGAACGCTTCGTAGAGTTACACAAAGTGGCGGCAGGAATCAACGGCTGCAGCAGGCAGCCCGAAATGACAAGGCAATTCAAAGGGAGAGCTAAGCTAGGATTTAATTTTAAGGACAGTCTCCTGACAAGCATGCTCAGGCAGGTGCAATCCATGCAGAAACCGCTTTCCACCTCTCGCTGCCAGAGCGGACGACCTTGCTAGCATAGATTTTTGTCGTGCCCGTTGCCAGATGAGCGACTCCTTCCAGAGGTAAAACACAGAACAGGTGTCCCCAGCCACCTGAGAAACGCACTGTAGCTCACGACATGCAGCTCTCCAGCTTGCCTGCCAGAAGCGCGTGCAGCGGCGTTTTTCATACGTGAAACAACCAGTTCCTTCTTTACTAAAATCCATGCCTGTGAGATATATAAATCTATGGTTTATGATGCCTTCAAGGGCTTCCTGGTCTTAAAGACTGGTGCCAGGTAGCCCCTGCCCTCTGCACCGAATGCTGCAGTGCAGAGGGAGATCCCAGCTCTCAGAAGACTTAACAAGCAGCTGTGTGCGAGCGTCTCTTCTCATACTCACACTGCCAGAACACTGCCTTTCCACTTCTGAAGAGAGGAATAAAGAGGGGAGGTAAGGGAATGACTAAGAAACCCATATTTCTCAGTGCATGAATCACTGATAGGAAGCTAGAACAGACTCTCTTTTGCTAATTGGGGGAAAATCAGCCTGCAGGGTCACTGAAGTATGAAGGAGGAGGTTTCCTTTTCGCTGAACTATATATACTGTTGCTTTACATCCTTCTAATTTACAGCGCTGTCCAATTTGCTTCGGTTGTTACACTGCCACATTTCACTGAAATACCTCAGCACTAGGCAGATAATATCTTATACTTCTAAGGAAAAGAAATTCCCTCTAGGACAGGAATTACCACAGTAGATCATACAGAAAGCCGAATTAAATTACCATTACAGCTTTCCCTGTCTTGTACTGGTTTGATCCTAGATTTCAAACAAAGAACCTAATCCTGGAAACGTTTTAGGACCAAAATGCTATGAAACCCACAGATGACAGGTAGTGTAGGTAATGATTAATTACTGCATGAGACCCTTGTAAAACAGCGCAGGGGCTTAGATAATGATATCACCACCCTAGCGTAACTAAAAGAGCAGTCTGATCGTGCATTAAACTGTGCAATTTTAATTGCTTAGGTCAGAAGTACAGGATGATGGCCCTTGTCACAGCAACAGTCTCGCCTAGTCCACTTTCCAGTGTCTGACAGCAAATACTTAAAGAAAGACTATGTATAAACTGAGCCTTTTCTGGCCCTATCTTCCCAGCTTCTAACCCCCAACCACTTCTGGGTGATAGCTTTTAATAGCCACCACCATTTTTCTAACGATCCTTATTTTTCCCCCCTCCAAACTCTTGCAAAGAACAAAATGGCAGATGTAAACTCCAAGAGAGTATCTCAGTTCTTGCAGAAATGCGTCAAGCCAGAGGACAACGGAGGAGACTCGCAGCCAAAAGAGGAGACAACAGAAGAGCAATCTCTTCCTATCATCACTCAGTCCTACCCTCAGACAGTACAAGGTATGTGTATTTCTTTGGCTTTTTCTCAAAAAGATGTAGAAAGCTGTAAATAGCAATATCTGAACATGATACTTAAAAGCTGTGTTGACACTTTGTATTAAAGATGCAGATAGAAATGTTTTGCTAAGGATTTATACATCAGAAAACGTTACTGTGTGCCTCTGGCTTAGAATAATGAAAGGGACTAAAGCAAGAAGATTTAAAGGGAGGCTTGTATTCAATTTTTAGATTACATTGTGCTGCATTTTCTCTTCTTTTCAGAGGAAATATCAATGGTCTTCAACACATACAATATGGCAGCCAACCTTGGGCCAGCCTCCAGGAGGAAGAGAGAGAAAGGCACCAGTCACGATGGCACAAGTACCTCTCTCTACGTTGACCGCCGGAAGTCTAAAGTCTGGAATTACTACACGAAGCTCGGAGACGCCTATGTCGAGTGCAACGTCTGCAAGAAGCAGCTCTCCTTCCATAACAGTACCACCACGATGCGGGAGCACCTGGTGAGGAAGCACAGCATCCGCGACACTTTACTGTCACAGCTCAAAGACGATCAGGCTTCTGAGTCCGACTACACAGCTCAGGAAAACGTTGTGAAGCGGTCCAGGCAAACGACGCCAGAAAACAGTCTGTACCACGCCGCGTCCTGCTCAGAACCGAGGACTGACATGATTCTGGAGCTGGTGCTCGAGATGATATTCCGCGACCTGCACCCTCTTTCCATAGTAAAAGACAAAGGTTTTGGGCTCCTCATTGGGTACCTGGAACCTAGTTTTACTCTCCCATCACCTGTGCAGCTCTCCAGCATGTTGTGGCACAGGTACAACGTAGTCAAGCAGCACCTAGAGCACTATTTGCAAACAGCTCAGGCCATCGTCATCTGCGTGGAGTTCTGGGTCTCCCAGCTCAGTCAGACATACCTGACAATCATGGCTAACTTCATCGACGGGGAATGGCGTCGGGCAAGGTGCGTTATGGAAACGCAGCAAGTGCATGAAAACAAAGCCGAGGGCAATTTAGGAGAGAAGCTGTATGCTGTCCTGTCTGAATTTGGTTTGTCCAACAAGTCTGTTTTCTGCGTAATGCATGACAGCCTGCAGAACACAGCAGCGAATTCGCAACAGCTGAAAAACGTGTACGGCTGGACCAGCCTGTGCTGCGCTGCTCACACCCTTCATCTCTGCATCAAAGCCGGGCTGGAAGTTGAGCAGGTACAAGAGGCTCTGAGCACTGCTCGGGGCATTGTGAGATATTTT